CCCCAAAACCCCAAAACCCCAAAACCCCAAAACCCCTTTTATAAAATTAAATTGAGTAAAACCAAATAGATTAGTGGGATCCAAAACCTTGGAAGCCACCTTTTCCATGGGGACCTTTGAAGGTATCAGTGTTGATATTCTCTTCTTCGTCTTCATCCTCCTCTTCCTCTTCTTCATCATCGTCATCTTCAATATGGTCAACGTCTAGCTGATCGAAGCCTTGAACATGTTGGATCTGGCTGATACTTTCTCTTTCTCTAGAGTCTTTATAGTACTCATTGAAATCCAATCTGAAACTTAATGATTTATCATCAATTTCGAGAGTACTTAAGGCTTCATTGAACTTATCAAAATTAACTCTGTAAATTTTGCCAAGTTGCTTGAGTGTATTGCTGGCTTCAGGAGAGATAACCTGAGAATATTCCTCTCCATCATCCATCACTGATTGTCTTTTATGATACTCTTCTAATGCAGAAGAGTATAGGATGTCTTGTGTCCTGCTAAATTGATGAATTTGCTCAAATATTTTGACCATGAGTTGGTATAATTCAATATGTTCATGAGTCAGCATCGCTCTTTTGTGGATAACTTCGACGAACTTTCTCTGAATTCTCATAATATCATAGAGATCTTCAGCATGGTCAAGATCTTCTTGGAATTTATTTCCATTCACTTTCAATTACCTCTACTTGGAGATATGAATGTAGATTGTTGATGTAATGAAGCATCTCATTTCTTAACAAGTTACATCTATGCAGATCCGACCTGATCTCCTTTAAAGAATACAGTTCATTTTTGTAGCTGATCTGCTGCACCCAAGTTTTGTTCAGAGAATGTTCCACTCTTTTTAGCTTCCAGAGAAGATTGAAGATTTTGAGATACCCTATAATTAATTCTGGAGTCAGAATAGTATTTATGGGTGCATCTAGTTTGTAATCAAGTGAGAAAATATCCCATCCGTTGTCTCCTGGACTGGCCTCAAGGAGTTTCACGTCAAGTCTTTTCAAAAATTCTGAATCGGTCATGTTAGCATTTGAGGATCGAACTGCTGATTCTAAGATTCCAAGAAGGTTATATTTGTAGAGCTGTCCAGCTGGTTTTGACAATTCATTTACCATTGAGTCCATCAGATTTTGGATGAAATCTCCTTGTCCAAGAAGCAAGTACTTTCTTAGAGCTCTTCAGTGTTGTAAGAACTGATATTTATTAAACATTAGACCAATAAGCTCTTTATTAGTAACTTTATAAGCATGATCAACCCAGTTTTGTAGGGTTGAGTAACTATTCTCATCACTTGAGAATGTATCTGCGTTGAATGGAATTTGTTCATTAGCATCTAGCACCCAGTCTTCTTCATGGCAGCACTTCTTTATAAAGTTTACAGCTTTTCCTGTCAATAAGATTTTTCTGGCAAAATCATTAGTAAGGAATGAGGGAATCATTGAAGGCTTCAGATCATATTTTTGGGTCCAGATGAGATCATTAGGCACATTTGGGTCCATACTTACGAAGAATTCTTGGAATGGATCATTAAGCTCACCTTCGATCATCCATGTCTTGATCATTGTCATTATTGGAGCTGATACTTCTTTTAGTAGCTTTGAAAGGAGGAATTTTGTGCTAGGAGAGCCATGAAGAACATAGCTATTAATAGAACTTATTATTGTTCCTCCCTTCAAACCCTCAATAGAATCCACTATAATTGCTAACCATTTCATCCTTTCCATCGGTTCTTGAATATAGAGGTATAATTTTCTTAAATTTAGTCAATTCAAAGCGTCTGTCTCATCATAATTCTGATGTTGGTTTTCCAAAATTGCAATTAATCGATAAAATTCAGTAAGCTCTGTTTGGAAGGCAAATCATAAACTCTGTGTAACTTGGTCGCAATAAGTAGAATCGATATTTCTGCTCATGAAGTCATTAACCTTCTTGAATAGCCATCCAAGCTCTCACATTTCTGTGACTAACTTCCTTGTGGACTCAGATACATTTACATTTGGAGCAAGAACAAAGGAATCTTCCAGGATAGAGAAGCTAATATTTTGACCATCGATTCCTTGAAACACATATAGGAGATCTTTACACAGGGCTTCTTCTGAGATATCTTGGCTGCGGTATCTAAAACTTTTCAAAAATTGGAACTGGCCTGATTTGTTATCATTTTGATTCTTATAGTGAGGCCCATCAATCTCCATATCTTGCTCCTTATTTTCTTCCTTAACATCACTACTTTTCAGCAGAGTTTGTAATAGTTCAGAAGAATCATTCTTTTCAGCTTCTACATTGCTGATTTTGTACAACACATAGAGAGCAGAGGTCAGATCGCTCTTGGAAGTTGCCCTATTCCTTCTATTTCTGCGTCAGCTTATTGTACAACTGCTCGAATTTTAGAATATCTGAGTTCTTTGAACCGTATTTTGGAGATTTGGAAGCACCCAATTTCCGCGTTATTAAATTCTTGACATGTTCTGTGTCTTCAAAATTAGTAGATTGCAATCTAGACCCTAAAATTCTCTTGAAATATGACAAGTATTTAATTCTTAGCCTTCTTCGTTGTACTGGACGGCATAGAAAGATCAATAAGCTTCATGATATCTGCAGAGATTTGTGTACTATTAGACTCCATTTTTAAATATTTTAAATAATTGTTTTATATCATTGCCTCAATTTTTCGCTTAATTCAGGGGTTTTGGGGTTTTGGGGTTTTGGGGTTTTGGGGTTTTGGGGTTTTGGGG